CCCACTACCGTAAGAGTCGGAGAGATGGCACCCCCGTGTTAGCGTTTTCGTTTGGCCTATTTCTCCACAACTATAATAGGAGGGTGCGAACACCAACCGATACCTCTCAGGAAAGCCCTCGACGAAATGTTTCCAAAACTACCCTTTTCGGCACTGGTACCCCCCTGGTTGTGGTGGAATACGCTACAAAAAAACCCTTGCACGGGGGTGCCATCTCTCCGACTCTTACGGTGCTGGTATATGTACATAGCCTGACATGTTTCGGGACACGTTCGTTGCCTCTATCCCACAGGTCCGGTCGTCCCCTTCTCTTCCATTGTCATGCTGTACGAGGCTAGACTTGTTCGCTCCACATTATTTTTTCTGGTGCTATCGAGTTCCTTGGGTATCGTGGGGGGAGTATACCCGGATTACCCCATGACCTTCGCCGACATGAAGGTATTGGCGGGGTACTACACAGAAGACGGAAAGTACTTGGGAGGCATTCCTAAGGCGGACCCTGTGAGCAAAGAGATCTACGAATGTGCAGCCGATACATATTTCTATCCGTCCGGGAACGACACCGTCACCGACTCTACCGACGGTAAGGACGAGGCTACCGCTTGCATGGAGTGGAGGGCGGACGAGTCCGCGGGGGGGGTCTTCCAGAAGGGCACGTGCGAGTGCACGTCTATCGACAACGAAAACTATTGCTCCGCTTGGACCTGCAACCAGGTTAAAGAAGAAGAGGATTGCAACTCCTCCGGAAGCAACTGCGTCGTGTCCACCAACACCGATGCCGTCCTATGCCAGTGCGACCTCGATGTTCCCTCTGGCCTGTATTGTGACTCGTGGTCGTGCAAGCAAATAGACTCTGACGGCAGGGAGGAATTCGAAGAGTACCATTGCCAGCGTGAAGCCGAGTCGGGACACTACTGCGAGGCTTGGAACGGAAACGTGACCGCCAGCGATGAAGTCGAGGTGGTGACGTGCGAGTGCGTGGCTACTTGGAGCGGTGATCGCCTGTGGTGAGTAGAGTGTGCTCGGTTTATGTATTGTTTCCCTTGTGGGTACATTGAGCAGCTTGTACAGCATGTTGGCCTCCGTTGCGTCCCAGCAACGCTCACGGCGGGACCTGTGCAAACGTGCATGGGGAGCTCAGAATAACCACCCAGTCTCTACGTGTTTTTTTTTTTAGCGTCGCTATGCTGCATGCCATGGTGAAGGAGCCACAAGGCTAGCCTTTTGACCGCTCGGGGTAATCTGCAGGATATTCAGAGTGCCGATTGGCATGGTGTTGGGCGTTGTGCGGTTGCTGGAGACTTCCTGGTGGTGGCTGGTACTCTAGTGGTACAATGTCGTGTCCGATTGGCATGGTGTTGGGCGTTGTGCGGTTGCTGGAGACTTCCTGGTGGTGGCTGGTACTCTAGTGGTACAATGTCGTGTCCGTCATTCCCAAAATACCTGCCGCCTCAACTGTCGCTTTTCTTCGAAACTGCTGGTTATATTTAGCGCCTTCCCCCCTCCCTCCCCCCCCCGGTGTTTGCCATCGGGGTTTGGGTTTTCGTCGCGTGGCAACGACGTTGTAAAACAAGCCCCCCACTCGGTGTTTGCCATCGGGATTGGGTTTTCGTCGCTTGGCAACGACGTTGTAAAACAAGCCAATTCACTTCGTGAACTCGGCAACCAGGTTACCGTCTTTTTTTTTTTACCTCTGGTTTTTTTTTTTGGCGGTAACCATAATGGTGGTCGAGTAGATCATGTTGTGCGGGGTCGAGAAACCTCACTCCGCGCAACGGGGGATGATCGCACCACGTTGTGTTAAAATGGTCAAGCTTCCTCGAGGCAGTTACACAGTGCTTACAACTGTCTCTGGAAGTGAAAGCACCAGAAAATAAATTAAGTCATACGTAGCTGTCATCCGTACGCAAGGAAGTAAGCACAAGATGCCGAACACCCTTAGCAGGATGCAGCTCACCCTTCATGCGACTCGCCAAATACCTCACGGCGCTTCGCGCTTGGTGATGTGAGAGCCTGGTCCGGTGAGAACCCGGCGTGCTCCGTCCCGGCTTTGTAGGGATGCGAGGTCAATGGTCAAACGACTACGGCATGCACGACTATGAGTACACCCCCCCCCCCCCCCCCCCC